AAATTATTGTTTTTTTTTGCGTGAGAAGTACCAATTGAGTTGAGTTTGGGGAGAAATTTCCACTACGAGGCTGAGTGTATTTCACCAAAACTGATGGACAGAAGGGCGTTTGTGATGTGGATCTTTATGACTCCCTCAAATTCTATAACCGAAATACCCCGCAATATTCTGTAACCGACACTATTTGTGAACGGTCGAACGTTAGTTAATTGAACAAAAGATAAGATTCCCGAGGGAAGAGATCCCATTTTGTGTCACATTTTATAAATAATTGAGAACTTACCTTTTGTTACCTCAACTCCAATTATTTTAATAATTCTATGAATACAGTGAATGATTTAAAATTCTCACACTGTCCTCAATCAAACTGGTAAATATGCCTCCAGACTGATGCATGAATTGTTTGTTTTCCTTCCTCACAGTTAATGTAGTGACGATCTATTTACTGCTTTATAGAGATTGTGGATTGTCTCCATGTGTCAGACGTTACCTGCGGGCCATAGCAGTGGTGGACCTACTAGTTATTATCCTTGACCTGATATTGAGACCCATTCCCATTGTTTATCAGGAACAGTTTTATTTCCTGGAGTCCATCCCTGTGTGTAATATCCACGCCGTCCTGCTTTATGCAGCCACTGACTTTTCTGTCTGGTTCACCGTCACTTTCACCTTTGATCGATTTGTGGCCATTTGTTGCCAGAAGCTGAAAAGTAAATATTGCAGTGAGAAAACAGCGGCTGTGGTTTTGGGAACACTGACTGTGCTGAGCTGTTTAAAGAACATTTTCTGGTATTTTATGTTCACAGGGCAATATTTGCTGGGGAATGTCCCCTTGTTTTGTGATGTAACAATCGATGTTGCAATTTCTCGTGTCTAGCTCACAAGCAAGTTCCTCCATCACATTCAAACCCCGGCTCTCCCATTTCTCCTGATTCTGCTGCTCAATGTTTTCACCGTCAGACACATTTTAGTGAACAGCAGAGCCCGCAGGAGACTCCGGGCTCACACCAATGAGGATGGTCAGTGTGACACAGAAATGAGGAATCGAAAAAAATCCATCATTTTACTCTTTGTGATCTCGGCCAATTTCATCCTGTTATGGTCAGTGTTAAAGGTGCATTTTATATGGAAGCGGATGTGGTGGATTGGGTATCAGTCTGTGTATCTAGATTACTTTGTGCTGGATTGGGCTTCATGCTGCAGCTCCTTAGTTGCTGCACAAACACCGCGATTTATGCCGTGACCCAGATTAAGTTCAGGCAGCAGTTGAAGAATGTGCTGAAATATTCTTTTACCCAAATTCATCAATCAATCAAATTCACTCACTAATCAATCCATCCAGGATTTTCTCATGTCAGTTCAATGTTTCAGCAATGAAGCAGCCTGTCGCTATGATAACAGACTGAGGGTAGTGCTGGTTTGTCCAACCTTATCCCACAGGGATTACACGGACAAATTTCAATGTTTCTCTCAACTCAGGGGCCAGTGAGAAAAGGCATCATGTTACTGATTGTATCGATAACTTCAATTTGTAATTAATAAAAATATCCATTAAAAAGTGACAAGCTGCAGAATGAACTGTATTGTTGTTCATCTTTGTGTTGAAGAAGCTGAGCTGGTGGAGACAGATTCGGTCCCAAGTCCTGGTCCTCGGGGAGGGGGAGGAGACTGGGGTTGTGCACAGGAATTAAGTTTAAGTCACTCAGTTCTTGATTTCACCTCTGGGTACCCAACTCCGACCCGACCTCGATGGAATGCATCTCTCTCCCTTATTACAACTCCCTCCATATTTTCCTTCGAATCTCACCATGACGTCCCATCTTCTCCCAAAATGGGGTGTTCCACTCATGAACATCCCAGATATCCTCTGATTTCAAGGACTACAACTTTCCTCCTTCGGTGGTCGAAAATGCTCTCGACCGCATCTATTGCGTTTCCCGCACCTCTGTGCTCACATCCCCTCCCTGCAAAAACAAACAGAGACAGGATCCCGCTTGTCCTCGCGTACCACACCACTAATCTCCAATTCAAAGTTTCATTCTCTGCCACTTCTGCCACCCACAAACTGATCCAAAAACAAAAGGTATATTTCCCTCCCCACCCCTGTCTGCCTTCCGGAGGGACAGCTGTCTCCACGATTTCCTTGTCCGCTCCACGCTCCCCACTGCCCCACCTCCCCTGGCACCTTTCCCTGCAACCGCAGTAAGTGCTACACTTGCGCCTACACCTCCCCCCTCACCCCCATCCAAGGAACCAAACAAACCTTTCACTTCAGACAGAGGTTCATCTGCGCATCCGCTAATCTGGTCCACTGCATCTGCTGCTCCCGATGTGGCCTCCTCTACATTGGTGAGACCAAGCGGACGCTCAGGGAATGCTTGGTCGAGCACCTGTGCTCTGTTCACGACAAACGACAACACCTTCCAGTCACGAACCATTTCAACTCCTCCTCCCACTCCCTGATCGACTTGTCCATCCTGGGCCTCCTCCAGTGTCACAATGACGCCACCCGGAAACTGGAGAAGAAGCACCGCATATTCCGCCTCAGGACCCTGCAGCTAAATGGCCTAAACATGGAATTCACCAGTTTTAACATTTCCCAGGTTCAGCCTCATCCCATGTCCCACCCTCCCTCTCATCACCGCCCCCTTGACCAGACACAACCTGTCCATCGTCTGTCCCAACTATCCGCTCCTCCCACCTCACTGACCAATCACCACCACTGCCTACATGCACTCACCTATCACCAGCCCACCTACCTTCCCCTGCCCCACCCCTTCTTTATCGATTTTTTTTCTGAGCTCCATTCCCGCTCCCCCATTTCTGAAGAATGGTGCTGACCCGAAATGTCAGCTTTCCTGCTCCCCTGATGCTGCCTGGCCTGCTGTGTTCCTCCAGCTCCACACTGTGTTATCTCTGATGCCAGCATCAGCAGCTCTTGTTATCTCTTCTAATGTCAACTGTTTGTTCATAGTTCCAATTTGCTTTTTGTATTAGATTTATCACCTTCCTTCCAGACCTGCTGGCAGAAAGTGGCGTTCAACTACAATCACATCGAAAAACATTATTGTGAATGGTGGACCAAATGTGACGTAAAACACAAGAAACACTCCCTTCTCGAACACACAGACACACCCATAAAAATAGATGATTTCCAGAACATTCCGACACATTCGATCAGTCGAGGCCACACCAAGGTCACTTCTTCAGAGTTACTAATATGGAGGGTGAAAACATTGATGTCCTGAAACATTCTCTCCCAGTTCGTGGTTGGAAATTTCTGTCTTTTCGTCAGAATTGTGCTTCACTTGAGGCACACTGATAATGTTACCTCGCAGGGTGATGAAACGTTTGTAACCAAACCCACTGGCTCGGCGAGCACGTCAACAACCTATGACAATACCTTGAACATTTGATGTCAGATCCTTTTTTACAATCATACAGATGCCATTCCTCATTCGGAGATCCCCAACCCCCAACCTCCTTTTCATTTTCGTCCAACACTTCCAAATATAAACTGTCCTGGATAATCAGTTGCCAATATCGGTCACCCTGTAGCCAGGTCTCTCTCATGCCAATAAGTCATATCCATTTACCTCAATGTATGCTTTGAATTCCTCAATCTTTTTTGAAAATGCAATACATATTCAGATAGCAAGCCTTTCATTCAGTTTTATCAACCATTATTCCCTGCTCCATTGTCGCCTTAATTCCCCATTTTGACCGGTCAAGAAACAGTCTGACATCGTCATACACACAGAATCAGGCCCAATGAGTAACGTACCATGAAACACCATCGCCATCCCTGGGTATATCCTGTTACACCGGCAGGAGAGGCCCACCGGTGGTGGTAGCACGGTAGAATAGAGTCAGGAAAGGAGCCTCCCTGGAATTTCCCAACATTGATTCCAGAACCCCAGAAACAGAACAAAGAACAAAGGAAATTACAGCACAAAAACAGGCCTTTTGGCTTTCCAATCCTGCACCCACATGCTGCCCCTCACAACTAAAATCCGATAGCCTTACGGTGACAGTATTCCTCTATTTCCATCTATTCATGTATTTGTCAAGACACCTTTTAAAAGTCACGATCGTATCTGCTTCCACTAGTTGCCCTGGCAGCGAGTTCCAGGCACCCACCATCCTCTTCGTAAAAATCTCATGGTAACAGGTCAAGGATGGTCAAGGAACACGCTTGATGATGGTCAGCTACTGCCCTCCACACCGCCCCTCAGTTAGAAATCAGTTCTCCTTGATTTTTAAAACAAATCAGACGAATCACGGAGGGTGACAAGGCACAGAACGTACTATGGGTGTGGCACTTCAATGCCCACCACAAAGAGTTTCTCCACAGGCTCACCACTGTCTGTGCAGGGCGAGGCCTGAAATACATAGCGACCAGACTGTGGGAAGTGATGTGTTAACCAACAACAGGGAAACATTCTCACCAAACTATTGTCACAGATGTGTCTGTCTCTGACAGTATCTGTAGGAGCACCCAGCACACAGTCCTGGTGGAGGGAAATTCTCATCCTCATATTGAAGATACTGCCCACTGGGATAAGTTAGTGTTTATCGGTTTAACAGAAAATAATGACTGCACTGACACAGTGACCAATTCTGGGTCCTCAACTATTTGTAAACTATATCAACGGTTTAGATAAATGGAACAAATGTAAATTTGTCGATGACGCTATGATAGGTGGGATGCGAAGTTATCAAGAGGAGTTAAAGAGTCTATAAATGGATAAGCAATGGACAGTTTGGTCAGAAGCAAAGAGGAAGCGAGTGAATGAACAAGTTCACTAATGCAGTTAGTAGTGATTTCTGGAGTGAATATCTGGATTCAGAGTTTCACTAGGAACAATAACAGCGGCCAGGAGTTAATGTGCAAAAAGAGTAAAAGAAAAGAACAGTTATGAGTAAATGGAGTAAAAGAAAAGAACAGTAATACTGTTAAACCTGGTTGATAGATATAGTAATTAGACAGTGAGTCTTACCAGGGACACCAACGATAGCTAGAATAGGATAATATAAACATTGAGTAATGTAAAGTACGTGTTCGATCCGCTGTGATAATGGCATCGAATCATAAAATGTCGAAAGAAGCCAGAAACTATAGCATAAACCCCGGTCCATTGTAACATTCCAGTCCAATGTTCTCAGATTCTGATCTCGCCTCCCCCTCTCTCTGAAGTTGCTGATCCCTGTTAGTGCTGCTGGTGATGCTCACACTCATACTATGGGATAACACACAGAACAGAGCCCATTTATCATTAAAAGATGGAAACCCTCCACTGGGATAATTAGACTCTGCAGGGACTGACATTAATCACAGTCATCGAACAAACAGGTTCAGTTAACTCCTTCCTTACATCACTTTTCATATCACAATAAAAGGGAATATATACACAGTCTGGATGTAATGGATGAGGGTTGCTGAGCGATGGACCATAAATCTTTTACTCTTTTTAATATTTCTTCCCTGTATGTCGGAGTAGTGACAGAACACTGCAAGTTTGTATATGTTCCACCCTGTTATGAAAGGAGACAGGGATAAAACAACAGAAAAGCTGGATAAAATGACCGGTAGGGCAATTCCTAGAGATCATAAACGAGGGTAACAATATTCATCGCTCATCGACTTTCTGTAATGCTGCTCCTATTACGAAGTGCTATGTTATCAAATCCTTTCATAACATTGAGATATCATTCAGAGCATTGAGACTGCAGCTCAGGAACGGGAGGAAACAATTCTGTCCCATTGTGCCTATCACAGTGGGATAGGAGTAGGCCATTCAGCCACACTAGCCTATTACCACTTGAAGAGGTGGAAAGCTGGAATATTGGTGCATTTTGCAAAGGGAATCATTCAAAACCTATAGAGGATAGGAACATGAATGGGAGGGGTTTAGAGGGATATGGACCAAATATGGACAATTGGAACTGGCTGAGTGGGCACCATGGTCAGAATGGACCAGCTTGTGCTAAAGGGCGGTACAGTTTCCATGCTGTATTGCTCTATGATCCTAAGTGTTAGCACGGCTATATGAGGTGTTACTGAGAAGGTACCTGGAGCACATTCTGTTGTTTGTGTTTATGCATTTTGGAAGGGAGGAACCTCCATCAGATACAGTTTAATAGCTGCTCAAAATCCACGGTTTGCTGTGCGATTTAATGTCTGGAAACTGTTGCAGAGGTGCAGGAGGAGGCTACTCAGCTTCTCGAGTCCGTTGTATAAGAATAGAAGAAGGCCAGTCAGCTTCTTGGGTCTGTTACAGAGGGAGAAGAGGACACCATTCAGCCTCTCCACTCTCTTACACAGGAACCAGAGGAGACCATTCATCCTCTCGAGCCTGTTAGACCAGAGCAGGAGGAGGCCATTCAGCCTGTCGGGTTTAGTTCAGAAGAACAGGAGGAGATCATTCAGCCTCTTGATCATGTTATGGGTGATAAGAGGAGGTCATTAAGCCTTTCACATCTGTTATACAGAAACAGGAGGAGACCATTCAGGCTCTCGAGTCTATTACACAGGAATAGGAGAGGCCATTCAGCCTCTTGAATGTGTTACACAGGAACAGGACAAGGCCAATAATCCTCTCGAGGCTTTTTATACAGGAGCAAGTGGAGGCCGTTCATTTTCTTGAGCATGTTACAGATGAACAAGAGAAGACTATTCGGTACCTCAAATGTGTTATGGAAAAGCACAGCCAGTCAGCTTGCTTTCTCAATGACAGTGAGACAAACACACAAATATATCATTCAGATTTTGAAGACGTTTTACAGAAATACGAGAAAGGCTCTCAGTCAATAGAAGTTGTAACGAGTGTGAAGAGGCTAATCAGCCCCTCAATTCTTTTCCAAGAGAAGAGCAGGATAAAGCACAGCAATTCAAGCCTGTTACTCGAAAACAGGAGGATGACATATTTTTTTTCACAAACCTGATACATAGGAACAGGAGGCAGTCATTCAAGTCCTTGAGACTTTTACACAGGTAAATCTGGAGGGCAGTGAGCCAGCAGGATCCTGTTACTGCGTAACAGGAAGAGGCAACTCACTCCCCAACAATATGATACACTGGGAGAGAAGAAGAATTGGGTTATTACAACAGAAATAAGTGAAAAAGTTGCATGAGTGGCACATTGAATCCTGCTCCCTAATTCAACATGATCATGGCTGGTCTAATTTTGACTCCTCATTCCATTTTTCAGAGACTTCCCTCTCTGTAGCCTCTGTTCCATTTTTCGGTCATGTTGCAGACCCAGATGCTGTAACTGCAATCACCATGACTCATCCAGAGTGGGTCACCAAACTTCTGGTCTTCCTGAATATCCACAGTAGCTTTAAACAGCACGTCCTCTGGCTTCCTCACACAGTCCAAAGATGTGCAGGTTAGGTGGATAGGCCATGACTAAATTGCCTGTAGTGTTCAGGCATGTGTAGATTAGGGGGATGGGATTTTCTGACAGTCAGTCTGGACGATTTGGGTCAAAGGACCTGCTTCTACACTGTAGGCATTTTATGATTGGATCAACAATATGGCACTTGAAAGAAGTTTAAAAGAGGAATGGCGCACATAAACACAAACATCGCTGGGTTCTGAACCCAAGATCTCCTACTTACTCGGCAAGCGTGTTAACCAACAAAGCCAGAGGGCTATGCATGCTAGCTATTTCCTACCAATATATGCATTTCTTTCAGCGTGCAATCAGTAACACTTTTTCTTTATCCATTTTGTGGAGTGAGAATTTCAAACAAACCCGCTTTTGCAAACATGGATACTTCACAGCTGAACATTCTCCTCGAAAATGTACAGAAAGAGATGGTATCATCTTGCATTGGTTGAAAACTGATAATTTCACCTGTATAAACTGACGGCAAAAACATGGTTGGTTCATTCTCTCAGGGCCCCCGTTAATACACACAGTGGGACCTTCACAAGAGGAACAGGGTCATTGTAATCAATTGACCAGGAGCGATGGGTGAGTCAGGGTAAATAGTGGGCAGTAAAGTCTGACCCATTAGCACCGACATTGAGACTTGCATCAACAGCTGCACACTCACTTCCAGTCTCATGCCTCCCAATCATCATAATCTTTCATTTTAATTTCAGCCCCCCTTCTCTGCTTCTGAACTTGTTCCTGACTGATTGCAGGAATCCGATTAGAAAATGCAACTTCTGAACACGGGTGCCTCGGATATGGACGTCACACAATGGGATAGGATTTACGGCCCGTCATGAATTACAGCAGAGATGGAGATGACGAGATATTTTCTTGAACACTTGAACTCCTCAGCACGTAGCTACATCCGTGACGAACGATCAGTGGATCCGAAGCGTTATCTCTGTTTCTCTCCACAGTTGCTGCCAGACCCGCTGTAGTGGTCTATTAATTCCTGTTTATGGTTCTGATTTCCAGCATCCGTAGCTCTTTGTTACATGTTAGCTTGAATATCGTTTGGGATAAAATAGATTACCTCGCAACTCCTTTCCTGCTTCTGAAAATTAGTCAACAGTGCTGTGGTCACGAAAAACTAGCAAAGGAGAATTCGCATTTGCTGAAGGGGAATCAACCCAGGGCCGCGATGCTGAGAGCGCCAAATCCTAACCATTAGACTACCAGTAAAGCAGCTTGGCATACTGGCATGTTTTGTTAAGGACACTGCTTCTGCCTTTTCATTCTTCCTCATTTTGGCTGCAGATCAGTTTATCCCTGTCTTCGAGTTGTTATAGCTTGGAGAAAGAACATTCGGCCATTGTGTCAATGCACGTCATCAGGCATCCATCTATTCTCGTCCCAGTTTCCAGAATTTGGCCCACTGCCTTGTGTGACATTCCGAGGGGAGATATTAATGAGACTATCCCTCTAATCAACGAATGGGACTGACGTTTTGTGTTGGTGCAATTGTGTTACAACCCATTTAATGGGCTCATCCTCAATTTTACCACAGAGGGAGACTCACAGACACATCCCCGAGGGTGACAGAGGCCGCAGGATTATGCCCGCTCCACATTCACTCTCCGTCCCCAGACAAAAGGCAGCTTTACGTGGAGCACAAGCAAACTCTCCAGATAATGAGAAAGCCTGCTGCAACCTCGGAAGGAAACGGACAGTGCGCTGAAATTTTCCCAAACTCTGCCCACGTGGAAGTTTTAATTTCCAATCCCTGAAGCTCCTGGAAATCTGACAATACCAACGCTCTTTGGAAGCACATACCAATATTCAAGAAACGCCATTAGTTGCACTCGACCAGGCAGGACTTCAATCTACAACTTTATGACCCGAAGTCAGACAGGTTATCCATTATGCCCCGGCCCAATACACGGCTTACTGTGATACATCTTGTCAAGTTGTGATGTTAACAGGGACCAAAGAGGAAATGTGATTCATGAGGTGGACACCAGCAAAGGTAATCGCCATCATAGCTTCACTTCAACGGTCCCCACTTTGAGAAGCGGGTAGAACAGTGTGTATAATATCACAAAGAATGACACTGATCCACACATTAAACGGTAAAGTTCAGGTCATTAACTTGCTCGCCAAACTGGCTTGTTTTCGTTCAGACATTTCATCACCATGCTAGGTAACATCATGATTAAGACTTCTGATAAAGCGATGTTGTTCTACTCCAAATGGAATTTATACTCCGGTCTGTTGCGGTGAGTTCTGTCATTTCCGGTTCTGTTCTGCATGGGTTGTGTATGGGGTCCATTTCTATATGTTTGCTGATTGCATTATGGATTGAGAACCATGCCTCTAGGAATTCCCATGCGTGTCAATGTTTGGCTTGGGCTACTAAGGTTATTGTGTCCAGTTAAAGTGATGGCCTTCATTATCCGAGTGTACTGATATTAGGGAAAATTCGTCGTGTCATTTTGTTGCTCGCTGATGTTCGTGTGTTCTGATGGCTAGTTTCCTTCCCGTCTGTTTGATATAATGTTTGTGACAGTCGTTGCATGGTATTTTATAAATTATGTCGGTTCTGCATGTCGTGGGTATGGAGTCTTTAATCCTTGTGAGTGTTTGTTGTAGCATGGCTGTGGGCTTGTGTGCTACCGTAAGGCCGAGTTGTCATAGGAGTTGTCAGTTCTGATATGTTCTTGATGTATGGCAGTGTGGCCAGTGTGTTCGGGCATCATGTGTCCTCTTCGTGTTGTCTATTTAGGAGGCACCTGCGGATAAAATTTCAGGGATATCTGTTCAAAGCGAAGACT